GATATGACTGAATTTTCTTATTTTCTTAGCTTTTCATAACTGTTTGTCCTTCCCTAGCCTAAAATAATAAATTAACTCAGAAAATAAGGACCCTGGACATTACAGTTAAAAAGACAAGATAGATCCCCTGACACATATACTTCTTTTTAACTTTCTCTTCTTTTCTAGGGATCTACAGCTAGATCAATGAGCAGAGACTGTGAGGAAAATTTGTACTAAACAGCCTATTGATAGTTGTATCTCCTCCACAGGGACCTAGGGCAAACGTAAGGATGCATCGTCTTTTAGCCTACCGTCCAAAGCCTAACTTAGTTTGACCTTTGAATCTAATTCTCACAAAATTCACTGGGCATGCTAGTATTCTATCTTTGCTGATTTACTCTAACCTGAGCTGTCCTGACAATGAAAGGTCAGGCAGCACTGATTACTTGTAGAAATCCACCCATGGATCATTGTGAGGAAAAAACACCGAGGGTTTCTACTACTGGAGATATAGAAGGAGGAATAAAAGGGATAGTTTATACAGCTAAACGCAAGGTTAACCCCTTATGAAAGGTGGATTTCCTGTACAACTGTTCTGACAAGTGGAGGATTAGGCACTTCATACATTCTGCTTGGATAAGAGACTCCAACAGAAGTGAATCCCTGCAGTGGAGCAAACAGCTTTTCTGAAGGTCTCTGAGATTGTTGTATGCCGGAAGACAAAAAGTTCTGCTAGTGAACTTAACTCAAGTAGAGTTAACTCCCATCACAACAATGGCATGAAGCATCCTAAATTGTAGGTTAAAGATATCAGGCCCACATAGACAGCAGTAGCTCTCTATCCCTCTGGAGACTCACAGGTCTCTACCTCTATCTCCCATAATTCAGGATTACTAACATCATGAGTAAAAGCATAAATGATAATGAAAGGAATGTTGAGTCTAGCTCTACCTCAATCCCATCCCCTAAATGTTCCCTAAGAACAGGCAATACCAACAGCACACACAAGAAGTGTCTCTTGGGTGCCCTCTTGCTGCCACCAGAGCTTTTCCATAAAGCTGAAATGGACGTATGCTCTATGAAACTGGCAGAAAAGTAAAAGAGTAGAAAAAAGAGGGGCCAGGGCACAGAAAAGGGAAGTTATTTTAGTGGTGGCCAATGAGTAACATCCAATGATTTATAAGAGGTATAATCCAATAATACAGTAAAATAAAACAGTGTGTGCCTGAGATGGTTTTGATTCCAGGAATTATAAAACATATTTTTTAAAAAGAGAGAACAAGAAGGGGAAAGAAAATGGAAGAGGAAGGTAGGGGGAGCAGATTGGAGTAAATTGGGCACAGATGGGGGACACAAGGGGGTTTCAGTGACGCCCTACCACAAATGTTGCTTCAATTTTTTCTCTTCAAGAAACATGAGTTTTATTTCCTTAAATTACAGAATTTTTTAAAAATTAAAATTCTTAGAGTGCTTGTGGTTTAGATCAACAGTTCACCCTCCAGAATCACATCAGCCAATCACATGTCTCCTAAAGCATTAACTACTAAGACATGTGGAAAAGGCCCTTTCTCCCTTTGGGCTCAGGAATGACTTAGAGAGATTACCGATTGTGACATCACTCTGGGAACCACCTATCTCACCACCAGCTTTGGACATGAGCCAGGTAAGGAATATACAGCTCAATGAGAACTCATTTTCCCAGAACTGTGGTTTTCCTTGCTACATCCTCAACAAATACTGAGTTCCTAATAAATACCAGGCACTGTACCAGAGTCCCCAGTTATCCCTTGTCCTATTCCTCAAATTTATCTATCCCCAGCAACCTCATTATGGAGTATTAGGATTCTAGACGTTCTGTGGTCCCAATGAAGCAGGATTTTGCATAAGGCCCATGTGAGAGGAGGAGGAAAAGGTCTTCTCACCAATACACCTGAACCCATAAGTTTTAAGATCATTGCTGAGACGTGAAAGTTTAGTTGCACATAACTCAACCTATTTCCCATTATGGGAAGATGGGGCGAATCTGACCTCACAACTTTCGCCTCCATGAGCAGAGGGAGGGAAAACCATAACCCAGGGAAAGGGGAAACATGTCATTCTCTCACCACCATCTAAGCTTTTCCTTCTATTTTGCCTTCTGCAGTTGGCACGTTTGAAAAGTAATCAAAGTTAGCAATGATATGATTTCTGTCCCTGGACTACTGATATAGTGAAAAGAGAATAGTTACACAGGGGTAGCACCAAACACAAAAAACAAATAATGCATGACAGCAATAGAGGCATCAATAAAGAACATACTTTTTAAGTAAGGATATCCCTGTTTTTCTCCAAATCATACTTCTTAGGTACTGGAACTATGGGAAAGGCTCAGGTACAGAATGAAAGGATATGGACTGCCTCATCGGCCACAAGATCACCTCTGCTTTAGGCTGGAATGCTCCATTTCCACGGAGTCCAGGAACTGACATATGTAAACACCCACCTAGAAGAACATGTCCAAGAAGGAATGGAAAGGAAAATGATGGCCCAGATGTTCTGTAATTTGCAGAGATTGCCAAATCACCACAGACCCTAAGCACCTGGTAGGGCCAGGCAGCATCAGGCCCCTGCTTCCTGGTTTCAGGCAGCCAGGGACCCACAGCCAGGTGGTGACTCTGACAGCATGCAGACTGGCCTGGAGAAGGGCACCAGCTGATGGGACTTGAGAGCTGAACACGCAGGGCTGATTTATCACTTCCTTACTCATAAAAATGTGATTCAAACTGCTGCTGATTAGTGAAGGATTTAAATCTTTACCCTCTCCCCAACCCCCTTCCCTTTCCACCCCCGACACAGATGCTGCTTCTCAGCCACAACACCCCCTTCTTGCCACTGTCCATGCAAGCATAGCATAGGGGCCCAGAGAAGATGACTCATGTGCTGGGAAATGGAAAAGTGCATCTTCCCACCAACCAGCCCTGCTGAGCGCTCTGCTCACCCCTCTCCCAATGGCAGCCCACACAGTGGGGTCTGGATGGCCGCCTCAGCTGCACACCGGGTACTTGGCAGCATGTCCACAGAGCTCTCTGTCCTAGTTGAGTGTTATATCCTGTAGCCTGGGCTGTTTTTCTCTGAAACACCCTGGAGCCTCTGGCCACTTCAGCTCATAGTTTTCTTGGCCCCAAATGCTTCATGGAGGTAACATTCAGGATAAGGCCAGCAATGAGAAGTAGGGTCTCAAGTACTGGCTTATACATGTCTTTCCTGGCTAGAAGGTCCTTGTTATGACTAGTATGGAAAAGACCTATTTCTTTCTTTCTCTGTACTCCCCATTTCACCTTCCCTTCACCCACATTTTCTTAATCTTTGCTTAACAGCTACAAGAAAAGGACTCACTGGTAGCCTCTGAAAAGGCCAAGGTATTCCTCTTAAAGAAAGATGTTTCACAGGTAAGACTTGCAATCTTTAACATTCACATCTATAGAAGCCCAGGCCAAGTTGATGCTGAAACAATACTTTGGGAGAGGCTGCAGCTCTGTGACAGGCAGCTCACTGAACTCCATGGGTTGTTTTTAGCGGGAGGTAGAAAACTGAGTCCAGTGAGCTTCCTACTTGATATCAGAATGTCCCTCCCCTTTGGACTTCACATCCTCACCAGCATAACACTTCACCAACTTTATTTCCTCTTTCCTGGAAACCAGCACTGCCTTTTAGGACTCCACGCTTCCTCTGAGCAATTTAAACAAATAACCATCTCAGGAATAATTAGCCAAGTTCAAAAAGGCCCAAGTCTCTGCATCTTGACTTCTGCTATGAATTCTAAATACCACAGCAGGCAGCATGAGAGGAAGTAATCCTCTAGGATTCAGATTTGATTGAAAACCCAGGCAGCCTAGGAGAAGACAGGGCAGTATCCCAGGAAGAGCCAGGTTTCAAGGGAAAGTATGGCATACTCATTCATCAGGGAAGAAACTTCCCCACCACCAACAAGCTGAAGCAAGCCCTCAAGTACATATGAGAAAGGAAATAAATCAACTTCAGGTTAAGAGAAAACACTAAGAGAAGGTACAACAAGAGAACCAGCAACACTCTGTCCAGAAACACCAGATTTGTTTTACAGCAAAGTCTCTATGGGGCAGTTCCCACTTCCTGGCATTTTAGATAATAACCTTCTTGCCCTGAGACTAAACACTCTCTGTCAATGCTCTGAAATGATTCCTTGGCAGCATGGACCAAATCTCTGTTGCAAACAAACACAGCAAATAATGTTGCCTCCATGCTACATAGTCCATCAAGTCAAAACACATCATCCTTCCCTAAGTGGGATAGAGGGAAGGGCAGGGATCCTGGTAACATTCTTGGACTCTGACCTGATCATCAGAACATTTAAAACCCAGCCAATCTTCTCTCCCCTACCCCCCAATTCCTCTCTGCCAAAAAAGGCCCCAAAGAGTGTTCAGAAAAACATTGAGAATGCACACCAGTATACTGGCCAAATTCTGGGCCTGGTGGCTTTTGTGCTTCCAGATTTGAGTCACCAAAGCTCATCAATTCTCTGTTCTTACTCCCTGGCAGGCTCCCACAAGGGATATCCCACAGGGAACTAGACTTTTCCATATTGAACAAACAGGGTACATGAGTCCAGAAACAGCTATTCCCAATCCCTGCCAAGCGTATGGTCTCTGCAATGAAACATTTCAGCAATGCCTCTCCCTTGGGAGAGGCTCTGGGTCTGCAGCCTCCAAGAGGCCTTCCTGCTGCCTTTAGCATGGCCAGATGTGCAATAGCGTCTTCACATTTGCAAATTAAGCTCTATACTTATGATTCCCTCCTTTCATCCCACACAAGCACTACAGAGCTACGTAGGTATCAGACCGTAAACTCACTATCTGAGAAGCAACAGTGAGGAGGGTACTGTGTGTGCACATGTGTGTGTGTGTTTTGCAGGTAGTGGAGTAAAGTTGAGGTAGTGGAATTTGTAGCAAAGAAAAGAAGCCAAATTAATCTCTGTCTAAATGAAGAAAGTGGATTTTTCTTACCTTTTAACTGAGAGTTATGTACAGCAAACATGTTGATGGTCATAAGCTGCAGCATGCGGGTGCTTCCAATAGGAGAGGGGCTATGCTGCAGCAACACCTGAAACTCCTTGAGGACCTTCTCAGCCACTGCAGGGAATGTCTCCATCCTGCAAATACACCAAGCCCATCAGTGACACACACACCCAAGATCACTTGGTACACACACATACACACACACTCTCTCTCTCTCTCTCTCAAAGCAGACAACTAACGACCAATGCCAAAGATACTTCTTTGCTACTTTCACAAACCTCCCTGGTATCCTGCAATTTTGAACACATTTGAGAGAAAGAAGTAAAGTTTTCAGGGTTCAGTGGTGGAAACAACTCAATGCTTAGATAAATTACTATGAGTTATTACCCTTTGGTATGCTATTTCCTAACCCCTGGCAATAACTGGATTCAAGCTGATATCAAAGTTTCTCTATGAAACCACCACTTTTTCTAAATATTGAACAAATTTCCTTTAAGCTCTATGACAGGGGTCCTCATACTTTTTAAACAAGGGGCCAGTTCACTGTCCCTCAGACCGTTGGAGGGCTGGACTGAGGGTCCTGGGACAAGTTGGCTGCTAAGCAGGACAGGCAAAGGTGGCAAAAACACCCAGCGGGCTAGATAAATGTCCTAGGAGGGCTGCATGTGGCCCGCAGGCTGTAGTTTGAGGACGCCTGCTTTAAAACCTACACAGTCCCAAAACTGTCTGGCATGAGACTATATTCTATAAAAAAAAGTTACATGAATGTAAAATTTTTTACTCAAGGGTTTATTTCAGGAACGCTGAAATAGTTCTGCTATTGTCTTCTTAGGTACCACTACACTAATTCTTTCACTTAAGGATACCAAATTTCCCCTCTAAGAATCCCTAGACCTAGGGCCCCCATGATCTGTTTCAGTCTTTCCTGTGTTACTGTGCTCCTCCCTCTCCAATCCTCTGCTCATCAGGGTCTGTATGTTTTCAGGCCAGTAGAAATATAATGCCCTGGCCAACTGCCACTCCCAATACAGGAAGAGCCTGTAATGTAGGGAGGCAGAAATCCAGCCAGTGACCTAGGGCTCCTAAGGAGAGGTCATTCAAACCACTGCTTGCCAAATGTGGCCACTGGATCCCAAACAGTGGTGCATGCCTGAAGCTCTTTTGGCAATAGGAACAAACCACAGCTAAAGTCCTCCGAAATAAAAAGCAAGTTCAAACTTGGTGCTAGGGAGAGAAACCAAGCACATGGGCTTTAGGGCCATGCTGAACAATTCATGGTCAGTTAAGTATCTTTTATCCACCTCTGCAGTCCCCCAAATATTTTTTTATTATTTATTTATTTATTTATTTTAGAGACGGAGTCTCACTTTGTCCCCCTCGGTAGAATGCCATGTTGTCACAGCTCACAGCAACCTCCAGCTCTTGGGCTTAGGTGATTCTCTTGCCTCAGCCTCCCAAGTAGCTGGGACCACAGGTGCCCGCCATGACGCCCTATTTTTTGTTGCAGTTTGGTCCGGGCCGGGTTTGAACCCATCACCCTCAGTATATGAGGCTGGTGCCCTACTCACTGAGCTACAGACGCTGCCCAGTCCCCCAAATAAATATAGTGCTTGTGGCACACTTGGGAGCTATGGACAGCTCTAGGCTGGACTAAAAAATAACTTCTGTGAGGCCACATGAAAGGTAATCTTCCTCAAAAGAAACAAAACAGCCCAGGCATAGTGGCTCACACTTAAGCACTTTAGGGGGCCAAGATAGGAGGATTACTTGACCCCAGGAGTTTGAGATCAGCCTGGGCAATAGTGAGACCTCATTTCTTTAAAAAATAGAAAAATCTGGCTCTGTACCTATAGCTCAAGCGGCTAACGCGCCAGCCACATACACCAGAGCTGGCAGATTTGAAGCCAGCCTGGGCCCGCCAAACAACAATGACAACTACAACCAATAAACAGCAGGGCATTGTGGCAGGTGCCTGTAGTTTCAGCTACTTGGGAGGCTGAGGCAAGAGAATTGCTTAAGCCCAGGAGATGGAGGTTGCTGTGAGCTGTGATGGCACAGCACTCTACCCAGGG